AAGATTAAATCCATCTAGAAGCGAACCCTAGACAACAAGAAAATGGTGGTTGGGTATAAGTAACAGCTTGCTCCGCCTGAAGTGGGTGCAGTAGAATAAGCTGCATAGAAAGGTGGAATCACATCGGTAAAGTCAAGGGCAGCATGGCTTCACAAAACCACCGTAAACCAGGTACAGAAAAAAACCAAGGAGTAACCAACTTTATAAAACACATGTGAAGACAACTCTTAAATATCTATTTAATATAAAAGCACCTCTGCAAAGATGATTTTCAACTATTTACGCAGTAACTCTAGTGTTCAGATGAAGCTTTGACAAAACAAAACTGTGGCCTCGTGCCCTTGAATTTCAGATCTAAGGAACACGTGACAAATGAAGCTTAGGATGGTCTTGTTCATGTTTTTCACTTTATATGCTAAAAAGTGGAAGAAAAAAACCCCACTGTTGGATGAAGATAAGAATATATTTCATTCCCGGCACCTTAACCTCGGAGAGCAGCTTCCCCTGTTTCTCTCTCACTGACAGCTCTAGGAATGAATCAAATTCATTGTTCTGTGGTTTTCTTGCCCAGTTTTTCCCTTTCCCCCTGCAATGCGGACAGCTCTCCGCTAGCGGTCTCCCCAGGCACGGTCGAGCTGCCCGCACCCAACTCTTCCCTCCGCAGAGCCGGGACGCGCGATGACGGCATTGCGTTAGGGATGCGTTTGGCACCCCATAACACAGACGTGTTTGTCAAAATACAGATAAAATTAGGAAAATATCCTGCCTGCCTATTTCTCCTGATGCAGAACAGGCTGTGAAGTTTGGTTTTGGGTGTTTTTTTTTCTTTTCTTTCGATATTTTGAAGTGGGCTGTTCCTTGTTCTATCGAGTAGACAAAAATTTACACTCCTAATGAGTGCAAGTAAAAAACTGCTCATTCTAAATTTTAGCATTCAAAAATTGAAATAAAGTGCTGTTAAAAACATATTTAAGACTCCCTGCATGTTAGTTAACTTTTGAAAACCCAGGCACAAGCAGAGAATGCAGTGATGGGTCTTTTGTGTTTTTGCAGTTACTGAAAGCGTCAGGAAAGACCCAAGACTGATTTTGTCCTTTTACTGCAGCCTTGCCGATGGCTTTGATAAGATGATCGATTCCACCTCTTGAGTAACTCTGTCCATCACGTTTCTTGCCCTATCCTCCCATGAAGAGGTACCAGTGCCATCATTTAAGTCTCGAAAACACTCCCTTAACATTTCTCTCTTGATGCTACATTTTGAATAGTCAGGCTGTTCGCATTTGAATAAAGCAGCCTGGTTTGTTTTTCAGGCACGGGTGGGTGCAATTCTGCATCTCCTCCTCTCCACACCCTCCTTCTCCTCTGACTCTCTCGATGAACTGGCAGAAGTTGGGGCTCCCTGCTCGCTCCTCCCATGCGTGATGGGGCTGGAGGAAGCTCTGACCCCTCCCAGGGAGGGAGCTGGGCAGAGGCAGCCGAGTGCTGCAGCAGAGTCTGACCAGGGGCCTCGTCCTACCAAAGCCCCGTCCCTCCTGCTCACAGCCCGCAGTAGGTCCCAGCAGCCGGGATCCGCAGTAGGGAACTCGCCGGCCGGCTTTGCTGAACCCCTGCGGGCGCTTTCCTGTCCGGCTTGCCCCACCAAGGGATCGACATGGTGGCCACCTGCCTGCACCTGGCCGGATTTGTCTGCAGTTTTATAGGGTGGATCGGGGTGGTTGTGGCAACGGCCACCAATGACTGGGTGGTGACTTGCGGCTACACCATTACCACCTGCAGGAAGATGGATGAGCTGGGATCCAAGGGGCTGTGGGCAGACTGCGTCATGGCGACAGGTCTCTATCACTGCAAGCCCCTCGTGGACATCCTCATACTGCCAGGTACGTGAGCCCCGTCCTCCCCCTTCCCACCCGGAGATGAGGAGCAAAGCCTTGCTCTGAGCGGGGCAGGTCCTGCTGCAGGATGAATTGATGGCGAAGCTCCTTCAACATCATCAGCACAGGAGATGGTCCATTAAATATGCTAAAGAATGTGAATGATAGCTCTTAACATGATTCTCATTAAATTATACCTGGTTTTAATTGCACCCAGGTATCATGTTATCTGTGGCTATTAAAGACCAGTTTAAACATTAATCATTGCTCTTAGTAAAAGCTCGCTGTTCCTTTCACATCTTCTATCTAGGCTGCATTGCTAAACATACATAGTATATTGAGGTATAACAGAGTTCTTTGAGTTTTGCTTTGAGATGATGATGAACTATTACAAATGTTAAGGTTCTAGTCCTTAAAATGATTTTGAGTATAATGAATCTTTCAGCATCTATTATTAATGCTGCTATGGCTTTTAATCTTTTGGAAGATTAGTCTTGAGGGTCTTGTGCTTCCCACATGTTCTAAGGCAAGACAGAACTTTTACATGGCAAACAGATGGAACTACATTTAACTTGTCTTGATATTTTCTAATTATATAGTAATTTTCAGCTAGTTTACTGCAAAGCAAAAATTAAGCAAGGTATTTAATCAGTATTAATACATCTTTTGAGCCAATTAAACCTGCCAAAGTCTTGTGTGCTCTTGTCCCTGTAAGCTGAGTTAACGATCTTATCTGTTTCAATCACTGTTAACTCTGCAGCCTGCTTTGTTCTGCTATGGTTTAGATTGCACCTCCTCTAGCATTTCAGAGCTGACATTCCAAAGCTGACAGGGTAGAAATAACCATTCCTTGTAGTTTTCTTTCATGTTTCCTTATTTCTTTGTTTAAACTGTTGTGAAACTTACAAAGATTATTCCTGATATTTTCTCTGTTTCGGAGTCTAGTCTGTATGACATAGTGCTTAGCAATATTGAATCTCTCAGACTAGCTCCTATTCTCCCTTTCTCTATGTGTGTATACTTTTATTTTAGTAGGTTTACCTTCCTTATTGCCACTATTGTTCAATATGATCCAGGACAGGACAGAGAAAAGGCTTGCCCCAAAGAAATATTATTGAAGGAAATTTAATAAATAGGTAAACAGGTCTTTCAGCAGCAGAAAGCAATGCTTCTCTCCAGCAGAAACAAATCACAAAACAAGATGCTTCTGGTTGTAACCTATTTAATACCTGCAGTTTTCTGTGAGAGGGAAATTTATCCTGGTGTGCCCGTTAGCTGAAATGTATTTAGAGTCCTTCATTGTCTAAGTCTTTAAAATGAATGTGTTTGTATTCTTGTTTAATTGGGTTTGATTGCACAGAAACCACACTGGGCACTGCCATCTCCTTTGTTTAGGATCTCATTTTTTGCCCTGAAGTCCTCAGGTGACTTTTGTTTTTAAGGTTCCTCTTGAAAAAAATCAAGCAAATATTCAATATACACAGAGTCTGCATTTCCAGGAACAGTGAAATCCTCATTTCTGGTGTCTTACCTGTATGTCAGTGAGACTCGCTTGAGACCCCTTTTTGCTGATATTGTTTGAGACATCATGAAACTCCGCGTCTGCATGTGGCAGCTTCATTTTGTTAATAAGATGGGAAAGAGAGCCAGCACATTCGCTCTGCTGGAAGCACCGGAGCAAATCTGACGCTTTTTCTTTTTCATGCAAGTAATGACCTGGTTTTATTTATTTATATATAGATTTTATAGAGCATATAGATTTTTTTATATAAGA